TGACTCATTCTCCTCCAGACCCTTAGAGCTGCTGACCTGAATGGCACCTCCTTGGGAGGCTGCTGGGGGCTCAGGGAGGAGCCGGTCTCTGGTGACTGCTGCTGGTGGCCAGTGCAGGGTCTAGCCCATGGCAGTGCCCCCTATATAGGGTGGAGGCCTGAGTGGGGGAAGGTCTGGTCCTCACCAGCCCTCTCCTCTCCTGCTCAGATGAAAACCCAGTATGAGCAGACGCTGGTGGAGCTGCACCGCTACACCCCGCGCTACATGGAGGACATGGAGCAGGCCTTCGAGTCGTGCCAGGCCGCCGAGCGGCAGCGGCTGGTCTTCTTCAGGGATATGCTGCTCACCTTCCACCAACACCTCGACCTCTCCAGCAGTGAGAAGTACGGACTGTGGGGTGGGCGTGGCCATCTGGCTGACGCTAGGTCCCCTCCACGGCCCCTGCCTGGCCAGGCCTAATGGGACCTGGGGTCCAGGGGCCCGGGATGCCCCAGTCTGAGGGTGTGCCTCGGGCCCCAGGTTCCAGGAGCTCCACCGGGACTTGCATCAGAGCATCGAGGCAGCCAGCGACGAGGAAGATCTGCGCTGGTGGCGTAGCACGCACGGGCCGGGCATGGCCATGAACTGGCCTCAGTTTGAGGCATGTGTTCCAGGCCAAGGGGGCTGGAGGTGGTGGTGGCTCCCACTGGGCTCAGCCTGGGCCTCAGGAGGGAGGCCGGGGCTTGGGATGAAATAGGTGAAGGAGGCCCTGGCTGTCACTTCAGCCTGACCCTTGGCACTGTCCCTACAGGAGTGGTCCTTGGACACGCAGAGGCCTATCAGCCGGAAGGAGAAAGGTGGCCGGAGCCCTGACGAGGTTACCCTGACCAGCATCGTGCCCACAAGAGATGGCACTGCGCCCCCATCCCAGTCCCCAGCGTCTCCAGGGTGAGAGCCAGAGCCTGGTGGTGGCAGAGCCAGCTCTCTCCCACTGCCCAGCCTGCCTCTGCATCATTCCCTTCATCCTGGACGGGGCTGAAAATGAGTGCAGGCCCCTGGGCCTACTTAGTCACAGTGACACCTACTTCCATAGGTCAGGTTTGCTGGGTGCTCCCCACGTTCACTCTCACGCACGCCTCGTGTCAGCTCTGTGTGGCAGGAGGCTCACCTGAGTGCAATCCTGAGTGGCAGACGGGCTAGAATCTCTGTTCCTCTCCACCTGCCTCTCCTAGGGCTCCTCTTTGGGGTGAGCCCTCTGTCCTGGATCGGGGCAAGACTGCAAGCTGCGATGTTCCCTGTGTCCTGAGCTGACCCCTTCTGCCTCCCCTCCCCAGTAGTGGACAGGAGGAGGAGTGGTCAGATGAGGAGAGTCCCCGGAAGGCTGCCGCTGGGGTGCGGGTGCGGGCACTCTATGACTACGCCGGCCAGGAAGCGGATGAGCTGAGCTTCCGAGCAGGTACCGTGGGATCCCTTTGCTGTTCCTCTCTTGGCTTCGGTCCTCGCCTCACCTGTCTGAGCAAGACTGGGAAAGGACAGATAGATCCCACTTCTCAAGAGTCAGTTCTCTAGCTGTTCAGGCTGTTCTGGGGTCCTGATTGCTACGTTTGGGGGCTTGGGGCCTGGGAGGGCAGCTTGCTGGCTTGGCTGTGTCTCTTCCCCTTGCTGTGTCTCTTAGCTGTGTCCCTCTGCCTTAGCTGTGTGTCTTCTTGCTGGGCTTTCCTACTGCCCCATCCCCCTCAGTCCTTGACCCAGCTGCAGGGACAGGGCTGGACCGGGCACTTGGCAGTGACCAGTCCCCCTTTCGCCAGGGGAGGAGCTGCTGAAGATGAGCGAGGAGGACGAGCAGGGCTGGTGCCAGGGCCAGTTGCAGAGTGGCCGCATCGGCCTGTACCCTGCCAATTACGTGGAGTGTGTGGGTGCCTGAGTGCCCTGACAGCCCTTCTGCAGTGGTTTACCCTGGGGCAGAACCCAGCTCTCCTGGACAGCAGGACCTGAACCATCATGCCGCTGCTGCCTGTCTGTCCTACGATGGAAGGAAGTCCCATCAGGGAGGGGACAGGCTTGTGTGTAGGAAGGGACTGGGAGGGAAAGGCCAGCTGAGTCTAGACTGATGGTAAGAAGGGAGGCTGGAGGTGACAGAAGGGTTCAGGGTTGCCTGGGCCTCCCCAGGAGCACTTGGGTCTCCCCAGGACTGTGCCCAGTTCCTGGCCTCTTGGAGTTCCTGGGGTGGGCTTGGGGTGAGTTTAGTTCTGGGCTAGCAACATCCTCTTTTGTGACTTGTTCTAGTGTGTATTAAACTTGACCAAAAAAAAAAAAAAATCAGGCTTGTGTGCATTTTTTTGAAACTCCACTCTTGCAGACCTTTGGGGGGAACCTGGAGAGAGACACCGATGCCTAGGGTTGGGTAGGAGTTTGCCAGCCTGGTACCCGCTTTGGAACTTTGGGACCTTAAGCGGGGTGGAAGGGACTCGCTATCAGGCTCGGTGTGGGCCGGCCACGGCTCGAGGCTGGGTGCTGGGTGGTGCACTGGGCGGGAACCCGGCCAGTCTGTTCCCGTTCGGGCCGGTGGGATGAGGAATGCTCGGAGGGTTGTTAATCTTTACTCATCGATCGGTAATCCGCCAGGGCTGGCGTCTCCGCCCCGCAGCCCGCGCCGCGTGGGAGGCAGCTCCACCTCCTGGGCAGCGTCAGTATCTGCAGCGCCGGCGAGGAGGTTTGGGCCAGCCCGGGAC